ATATATTCGTATGTGGATTTTGTATTCGTCCAAATATGGATCGGTCATTCAAATTGTTCAATTCCAAGTTGGGCACATATTTTATGGTAGTGTCACAGTATCATAGAACCACTGTGCCTAGACATAACTTGATAATTTGCAAATGCCATATTCAATGTTCAGAGACCTGGAGGGGCCTACCTAAGCATTTTGGTGGTCTAGCTACTTGGGCAGGCGCTCAGGAACAAGGGCAGGTCTGCCCACCGCAGATGGGTTTAGACCCCTAGGGAGTTCTTAGGGCCCCTAGGGAGTCTTTAGGGTAGTTTTGGGGCCCGAAAACTTATGAAAATAAAAAACAAAATAAAATCACATACATCGTCATTAATCACATTCACAATAAAAAATGAAAAAAAAAGGGAATCAAATTGGCATTTGGCAAATGGCAACTAAACTCAAAAGTACATATTACATAAACTGATAAAGTAACTATCAAAGGTGAAAGACTGAGAGCATGATGTCCACTATCCACAGGTAATGTACTTCTCAATAACTTAAAATGACCATTCGGTGTCATCACCACCAGGAATAGAATTTGATGGCATAATGCCATCGTCATCATAGTAATTCCCCTCCTCAACATATTTAGCAGCATCCCTTGCCTCATCTGAATTTGTTTCATCCTCATCTCTCAATTTCGTCAACCTCTTCCCCTTCTCCTTTGCCTTTCCCTTCCCCCGATTTTGAGATTGAGATTGAGTGGTCCGCATTGGGCTCAATGGTGTCGCAATAACTTTACGAACCTTACCCCAGGTGGGGAATACCTCATCATCCCCAGCGTCAACTAGCCACTCGCTAGTGTCATCCATTTCATCAACTTCAAGAGCCTCCCTTTCATTGTTCTCCAGCTCTTGATGGCGCTCCCGCAACTTTTGATTATACTGAACAAAGACGTCTTTCAATTGCTTTTGCTCAAGTCAGTTCCTCTTCTTTGTATCGACCTATTAGATAAATATTGAATGAACAATTAAAACGTAAAAAAACATAATATAAATGGGGCTATAAACTAAGTAATTAAGTAATATTACCCTTTCAAACATGTCGAAGTTATATTAACATCCAGACAAGCTACAAGTCAAATATAATATACACATGGCCGTCTGGCGCAAATGTGGCGCGCTGCCCCCAAGGTATGTCCACCATGCACCTATTTCATATATATGTAAATGTAGTACAAAAGGTAATTGTATAATTGAAATTTAATACTCGAATCATGAAATCAAAATGAAGAAGTTCTAAAGTTACAAGGAGAGATCTTGGCCCTCTGCCTTATTACCATCTCCTTTCCAAGAGATCCAAGTGAGAACCTATACTTTTCTACATCCATCACGACTTTGTCTTGGACTTCGAGGTCAGGGTTGAGTTTGATATTGCATTGGTTCATTGCATCAATGAACTCAGTCTTGTTATGTATCTCATGATCAATATAAAAGTGAGCAAGGTTAAGGTAGTACCCTGCTAAGTGTAGGGGCCTCTCAAGCTGGTAGTTCCATTTATCTTCTATAATCTTCAAATATTCTCCATACTTCGCTTCATCATTCCCAAAAAGCTTCTTGATTTCTTCCTTAGCATCCTCCATAGCTTTATAAATGTGACTCATCGCAAGTTCCTTCTCAGCATCAAACATCTTTAGTACCTTTACTAATGGCTGAAAAACAGATAATGCATATTGAACCCTATTCCAATATCGTGAGTCCATGACAATCTCTCTCACTAATTTCCCATCTGCTTTCTCAACCCACTTGGACTTGGTCCAATCCTCAGATACAAACATTGACCTAAGATTTTTGTTTTACTCATACAAAGATTGTAAGGACAAGTATGAGGTGGTAGATCTAGTCACCCCAGCTCTCACCAAGTCTTTACCTTCTGTGAACTTCCTCATCATGGTTAAGACCTGGCCGACATAAATTTCCCCAAGTTACAAACTTACACTGACATCGTATAACATATATATCCAAAAGAATCAAAACAATTGATAACAAAGCATAGCATAAAACTCATGTTCTTAGTTGAGTGTGACTATATATATAAATTGTGATGGTCTTCGCTTTTTTTATGGTTGTCCTCATTGACTTCCTCTTAGAAATCGCGTCAAGCATAAGGTCTATGCAGTGTGCGGTGCAAGGCGACCAAAAAATACGCGGCCTCTTAAGCCATCAATAACCTGACAGCCGCCATATCAGCTGAGTATATACCAGTCACTACTTTGACCACTTTATCCTCACCAACCTTCTTTATGCACCGGTCCACCAAATCACTAATGAAGGTTGCATCATCAAACTTGTCAGAAGCATCAATAGATATCAAGAACATTGTCCCTAATGAACAATTCACCATGAAATTCATAATCCTTCTATTTCTCTTATCGCTTCAACCATCAGTCATAATAGTGCAACCATGTAGCCCCCATGCGTCCCAGTGGGTCTTCAAAAAGTAATTAGTAAGCTCAACTTCTTTTCTAAGTAATGGCCCCTTAAGCTCATTAACTGTTGGGGCCCTAAGCCCTAGCCCAAATTTACCCACTGCTTCTAACATAGCATGAAAGCTTTTCAAGTTAGCAGCATTAAAAGGAATGCCTGCTTCGTAGAAGAATTGGGCCACATATTGTGGTACCTTATCTCTAGCCTTCCTTTCTAAGTTGCTCTGTAAACTTATTTGCTCCCTATCATGCGGTAAAATCTCAAGATCAGGAGGCGGGGGGTAAAAATCCATAGGTCCTCTTCTTCGAGGCCCCTTATGCATGACCCCCATTGGCTTACTAGATGATCAAGCCTCGGTATACATATCCTCTTCGTGTCTTTTCTTCACCAGCTCTTTCTTGTTTTTAACCCCTCCAAGTGCTCTAACATCTCTCTCCTAACCTCAGCTGGCACTTGAGTACATGTGGTCAAACCTCCTCTAATGCTGGCTAAATGTTTCTTTAATTTGTTAATAACTACACCAGATTTGGACAAGATCCGTACTTCCAATCCGAATCACTTTACCTACTTGATCCAATTGAAGACATTGTCATGACTCACGACTTGCAACACAACACACAGAGTCATAGTAGTATCACGTAATCAACAAACCTGAAAAATAAATGAAGTCTATGAAGTAAACAAAACAACTAGGAAAGACCGCTAAAAATATGTGGAAACTAGAAACCAATCAAAAAGTGAACTTCATAATATGTGGAAAGCAAATGAAATAAAAAAATAATATAATATTTGGTTTCCAAACTAACAAAAATCATAATACCAATCTAAGAAAATCAATCACATAATATCACAAAATCCCTAAGATTTGGTTTGGTTTTTCAATTACAAAATGACAATTTAGTTCGAACTTCGAACTATTCACAAATTACAGGTCGAAACCGGTGAACATTCACAAAATATTCCACCTACAAACATGTGAAATTATCTCAAATGAAAAAGAATATCAAATCATAACACATTATACAAAAAAACAACACACCATAATTCGAATATTGTAATGCACTAAGCTTTTCAAAATGAAATTGATATAGCCCAAACCGGTAAATATTCACTATTATTTTCAACTATAAACATATAAAAATACCAAAAAATAAAATAAATAAATAAATAAGAATATCAAATCATACGACATTAACAAAAAAAATACCAAACCCTAATTCAAATATAGTAATGCACTAACCTTTTCAAGATGAAACTGATATAGGCCTTAACCTGTGACCTTTGGTAGCCAAAAGTCCTCTCATGCGACCACTCCAAGCTCCAAAAAGTATCGGGAAGTATATCTTTCGATTTTGGAAGAAACTAGGAATATTGAAAGTTTTTTCAGTCTTGATAGAAATCTAAAAGCCGTATTTCACTCTCTAAGACACACAAAGCCGGTTTCTAGGAGAATGCCACACCCCCCCCCCCCCCAAACAACAAAAAAACCATTTCCCCCCCTCAAAAATCCCTTGACCGAAGTCCTATTTCCGCCCTCAGCCGGGTATATACGCCTAGGAAGCCCTCCTAAGAGGCACCTTGGCATTTTGGCCAGGCCGCCTAGGCAGCCGGGTGGCTGATTTTTTAACATTGACCTATGTTCTTACTACTCTTGTTCCCATATATGAAGAAAACTAACAAAACACAGGATATCCTATTGTGGATAATTGCGTGATAGGGTGTCCTATTGCGTCAATTTAAGTAGCAAACAAGTTCTGTTTTTCCTGATAAATCTCATTAGAGTTTCTAATGCATAAAAACAATTATCACATCCTTTGCAGATATATGACCCAGAAAGTTACTCTTACTAAATCGCATAATCTTTGAGCCTCATGGTTTACATGGATAGCTTTCTAATGATACTACCAAGCACAGATAGAATCCATGGATGGGGAGTACATCGGCACAATATATGCCTCCTGTGCATAGCCAACGTTGAAGACCATAATCATCTCTTAATGAAATGTGCCTATGTGGGTGAGCTTTGGGAAGAAATCATCTAGAGGTTCAATACTAGCCATGGCTGGCAAAAACATCCAAAGCATCTTCATAGGTTGGTTCTGAAAAGAAACTCAACAAATTCAGACTTTAGTATGCCTTCCTACCAACCCAATTGCAAGCTATATGGCAAGAATGCGATCAATAGGCAAGTGGAGACCATCAATATACAATCCAATATGCACCAGTTGAGGTAACATAGGAGCTCCAAAAGCAGGATGAGCAAAGTACAAATTCTACATGACTTTTGAGTGAGGAAGAGTATATGCATTGAGGTCTCCGTTCTTTTTTGAGTGAGGAAGAGTATATGCAAATCCAAGGACTGATTCCTTAACCCTTCTATTCTGAAAAAAAAAAAAGGAAATTCATGAACCTTGTAACTTCGTCGACAAATTAATACAAAGGTTGGAGTTCCTGCATAAATCCCCACTAATCTTGGCAAAGAAAAAGAACAACTTTATCTTCAACATTAACGACCCTTTTAACACCTCATGAAACTGTAGTCGTGTAGTTTCACCAACATTAAATTCTTCATAAGTCCAAAAGCTCTTAACTTTTGAAACTAAAAACAGCAAGGTTTTATTCACCGTATACTGGCACCAAATTACAAAGATGCAGTGTGCATGAGTATCAAAGCCTAAACTTTCACAACGGTCCCCATGTCCACATTGTCATACCCAATTGTTTAATTATAGTGAAATTCCTAGTGTCATTGTGCATACTCATTGCCTTCAGAACCAGAAATGGAAGCGCTCTCTAGTCCCAGATATTGTGCTTTTTAAGGGTACGAGGTGTTTTTCCCATTGAAGTTAGTCATTTTCTTTTCTTTCTTTCTTTTTTTTTTTATAAATAATGCTGTCCAAGTTACCTCACCTTTTCAAATTAGATTTCCCAGTCTGTATTTCAGAAGGACTCCCAATATTGTCTTTCCACCAAGTGTTTCTCAAGGAAGCCTTAGTTCACCTCCACTCATTAACCAGCATCCATCCAAGCCTCTGTGGTTTTGTTCAACCTAAATCCCAGATCCAGGTCCTAGAGCGGAAGTCCATCCAAGCTTCTATGGTTTTGTTCCCCTCAAGGTTTCAGGTCTGTACCATATGGTGGCAATAGAGGAGAGTCATATATGGATTCTCACAGTAACACTGAACCTATGTATCCGCAGTCAAGTTCGATAATCCAACTTCCCAGAAGTTAGATGATTAAAATATTTGTTTTTATAAAAAGATGGATTTATTTAATTTAAAGACAAAAATATGAATACTTATTAAACTGAATTAACTTGAAAAATATTTTCTGTCTAAACTAGAGCATAGCGCAACACGATTTCCATTAGCTAGTTTTCTCAAAAGCTGTTACAGTGTGATTTAATTGTAATAAAATGTAAAGTGAGCATAGGAAACTGGTGAATACAAATGAGAAAAAAAAATTTGCTGAGATCCTTGAATACTGCAGATTTATTTATAAAAAGAAATGCAGAAAAAAAGACTTCTTCTTTTCATTTATTTCTCATTTTATACAAAATGAATCCCATATAATCAGGAAAAACAAAAAGAGACCACATTTATCACAGATGTTCTAACATTTTACATGAAAATTTTTCATATATCAAGTAAATAACCATCCAATATCAGAATAAAGATAATCCAATACTTAAATTTTCTGAGAATTCCACACGTAGGAAATTGGCCAAAGAGCATAAATATCGACTACTAAAATCCTCTCATAGTCTGATTTCATAAAATAATTCCAAGATCAGTACTCTAATTTACTGATCCCAGCATCACAGTAATGTGTCCCAAGAAAAGAAGCAACAAGCCTTTAGAAAATCAAGTAGATCAATTTCAAATAAATCAAACCAGTGTTCGAAAAATGCTGATCCAAATCAGGAATTGCCGATTTGGATCGGGAATCATTGATGACAAAGCCGATTTCTTATCAGAATTGGCAATTTCGTGTTTTTTTTTTTTTAATAAGTTAACTTTCAAAATCGGCAATTCATGTTCTTTATCTTATATGATGAAGTGTGTACATTTTACAACATAAAGTTGGAATAGCCAAATTGGCTAGACTGTATGGCTGTCAACGCATGGGCGAGGGTTCCAAACCCTCCCGGCATACTTCCAACTTTTTTTCTCTTTAACCTATTACCTGTCTTTTAACCAAAAAGAAGTTGCAGTGAGATGGTCGAAACCTCAACCTTCTGGGCATCAACCAAACCCTCTAGCCGACACAATCACTCTAATTGACCGATACAAAAACATATAAATCTCTATTTTCCTAGCCGACACAACCACTCTAATTGACCGATACAAAAACATATATATCTCTATTTTCCATTAACCACAAAAAATTTATGGTGGGAGAGTTTGGATCTCCAACGTATAGGCATCAAACAGCCCCTCTAGCCAATGCAAACAGCCCCTCTAGCCAATGCAACCACTCTATATAAGTGATATAAAACATATATCTATACTACATTATTAGTACACAGTTAAGAGATGAACACCTGTCCCAAGAATAAAGGGACCCTATCTCTAAAGAGAATGTAGGGCATGTGACCTTCAAATATAGAAATTCAGGACATGATGTAGGGTATCTTTTTATTTTTCAAAAATAGCAAATGCCATCTCTTTTGGATAGAGAGATATTTATAGGATGGAGAAAACCTATATACTTTTGAGAGATTTCAGGCAAGAACTATATCATGTATGAAATATATTATTAAAACATATGAAAGTGAAAATAAACTTATTCCAATACATATTAGGCTATTTTTATTAAATATGTAATCCTTAAATAAAAATATTAAATTATTACTATTTCAACAATAAATATTCCACATAATAATAGGATTACATTTAATTATTATAATTATATAATAACAATTAGATAAAAATCTAACATCATAATAACAATATAATGATATTACATGTTGTTATCATATTATATTATATTTCACCATAAAAATTTATTTAAGTAAATGAGTAAATGATCACTATCCAACATAAATATTTCAAACATAAATAATAATAATAATAAATATTAAATATTTTTCTTTTATTTGTTTAAGATGCTTCTAATTATTTATTTGCCAGCCCAATATGATAATATCAATATAAAAATAATATTCTATTATAATAACCTTATTTCATATACCATTTGAAGTGATTTCATAGAGAGTGAAGTATTTTATAAGCTAGTTTTTTCCCTTTCCTTTTTGATTTTTGTTTCCTAAGGTATTATAAAGAAAAATATGACTAGATAAAGCCTACATGTGTTCTCAATAAATGAATAGATCTTAGGGGAGAGCAAAACACTAGGTAATTAAGTAAATATTATGAATATAATTTAATTATATCATGAGACATACACATGCGTGCGCATGTTTAGTTTTAATTGTTTCAAGGACATGCATTGTGCTGGTTGTTGAGATGCTAAGATGACCCACCCTCCATATGCAATGAGGGTTCCCACCAATCTATTTTTAAAACACTAAGTCAAACAAATATAAATGTATTGGGAAATATATATCATATTAAGATAAGCATTAAGAACAAGGGTTATAGTTTACAGGGTTTGAGCGAGAGAGAGATGCATATAGGCTTGGTTTGAAGCTGATGAGGCATTTGGCGGGGGTTAGGGGCGGAAGAATAACCTAGGTATTAGATTTTTCCAAGACTAGGTAAGTTTAAACTTTGAGTGTTGGGAATATGTTGTTTGTGTAGCATCCAGACAGAGCCCAAGTTTTATATTCTATAGCTTGGAATCTCCTCTTAGTACACCTAGGTTTTGGATATTTTCTAGACACCAAAGAACCATAGAAGCAATGTGCATGCAATAGACCTCCCATCTTTCAACCATAGGTAGCAATTCCCCATTTAAAACACGATTATAAAAAAAAAAAATCGATTCTTTGAAATTCGTTAAGAATTCCAAATTTTTCGAAAGATCTTCAAAACGTTGTTTTTTTTTTTAATGGAACCAGCATAAATTTTATTCTTTTTTCAAAAAAAAAACTATTCAAAAAAGCGTCTACCCTATAACTTTATCTCTTCACTGACTTAATATATTTGAATCGCGATTTAGAGATATGCACATTAAAAGTGGGAGTAAATTAAGAATTTTTATTTTTATAAAAAAATTCATATAAAAAGCTCACTAATTCCCTAGAAAAAAGTGCAATATAATCTCAAAAAACAATCCATCAAAACAACCATATATACTCGAATTAATAGTTTGAGTTAAAGGAAGAGGAACCCAATTAAAAATCTTCTTTTATCTAAATACATAGCATCATTATAACGAGCAAGAGAGATTCAATGAACTAAAGATCTAGGCAGCTAGGAATTCAGGGTGAATTTCGAATATCTGGATTTGCTTAAGCATTCTGTTGCTTGCTTTCTGCATACTGAAGTTTGATTAATTTCATCTTTTCAATATTTTTTTATTTAATTAGTGTACACAACATACCAATCTGGATGGACCACTATTTTACATTTTTTGGGTTTTTTTTTTAGTTAACTTCAATCCTACATTGGGGGTTGTTTTTGTTTTTTTCTTCGAATAGTAATCCCATAACTTTCGGTTATCGTTCTTGTTGTTTGCTAATGTAGTTTTTGTGTTTAGTATTGTTGTTGTTGTTTTATAGTATACTCTCAATAAATCTATGGTTTTGTGTCATGACAACAAAGTAAGCATTATTAATGCATTTATTGAAAGTTTAGACAAAAATTTGTCAAGTGCAACTTTAATGATATAAGGTAAGGATATAAAAATTATATCAATGGCTCTGACATATCCATACAATGACCACAGCCCATAATCTCATATTTTGTTATCTTTAAATATCCGATTTCTTCATTCCATTTTTTTGAGCTAAATCCGACATATTTACGATTCTGTAACTTACCTAATTTTTGGCAATCCATATTTTTGGCCTGATTTTTTGGCACCAGCTTTTTGGAGCAAAACCGATTTATTACCACTATTTTGGTTTGCCGATATGTTAGTATTTCCCAACTTGCTAACTATGCTCTCAACTAACAAAGTGCAGTCACAGCAACTCATGATTAATGAAAACAACGAAAAACCAAAGCTGACTAAAAAATTGAAGAAAATTACCTTAGCGTTTTAATAAGGGAAAAAACATTATATGATGGCCCGATTTGGTTTTTGCAAAAGAGTAGGCTTGCAGCAATCCATAAATACCAGGAATTCAAAAAACAACTACGGCATAGTAATCCAAACAAAAATAGAAATATGATTTAATATTAGAGAGAGAGAACTTCTAATGATCCATTATTAGAGAGAGACAAAAATATTTTAACCAGGAAGGAGCAAACAAACATTTAAGACTAATTTATCAGAAAAACATAATAGAAGAGGTTGAACCGAAAGAATGGTAAAGTGACATGTAGGGATAAGCCTATGACAAAGAAAACAGTGATACTTCATATGCATAATAAGAAAGATAAAAGATCATCGCAAAGAAATCTAAACAGCCAAGAAACTGTGAAATAAACAAGTAATTAAAGTTTATCAAGAGCATAGTCAAGGAGAGGGTTTGAAACCTGGCAATCGCGTGCAAGAAGTTAGGCATGGAGAGAAAGAAAGAGAGTAAATATCTGCAATGAATACTGGAGAAATACCTCAACAAGCACAATGCCCGATATCTAATAAAAGAGTCAGGGTTTCCTTCAGCGAGAGAAATGTCGAAGATCCAGAAGCTTATGGTTCGTTGTAGAAGAGAGAGATCACATCGTACATTTGGTTGTTGATGAGCTAAATAAATTAGGGTTACAAAAGCAAAACAATAAATGTCGAACTCTGATCTGGTAGTTTGAAACGCCTTCTGGAGAGAGACGTGGAATCCTCGATCTTCTGAAACTCTGGAGAGAGAAGCTAGAGAGAGAGGTCTGACACTCTGGGCTCGAGACCTTATACGTTTCGGCGGGATTTTTGAGATTAAACAAAAAACAAAATTGATACAAGGACATGAGGTTTCTATTTTTTCTTTACGAAAACAAAATAAACCTCACTTTAAATCCTCGAGAGCACTTTCGCGAACGGAAATCTGGATTTAAAATCAATTTTCAATATTGACGATGAAATTCGAACCTCAAAAAATCATACAAATCTTAAGTATCTATAAATATTTATTGAGAGCATATGAGATTAACCCACTAGCTCATATGAACATACGCGTTCAATGGTCCATATTGAATCAGAATCGATCTAATGATCACAAATGTCAATAATACTTGAATTTTATTTATTTTTTTATAGATCTAAATCACATGAAATTTAGGGTATGTGTTCTTCTCATCAAGACACACTTAATAAAAATATAAAAAAAATTATCTGCGAAAAAAAAGGACCAAAATATCAATTTTTTTCATATAAAATATTTTTTTGATATTTTTCGAAGATTCACCTCTTTTTGATGAACACATGCCTAAAATTTCAAATGATTTGGATTTATAAAAAAAAAAAACTAAAATTCAAACACTACCGGATGTTTGTGATCGTCAGATCGCCCAGATTCAATCTGAGATATTGGGCTCATATGTTCATATGAGCTAATGGGCTAATCCCATCTTTTTTCATATTTATTTGAGATATTTTTAGCTTGAAATAGATGATGGAGATAATTTGTTACAATATACATTATTTTTAGGGTTTGAAATTTTTTTTTTTTTTAACAATTATAATGTTAAGTCAAGATGATTGATGTAAAAAGTTTTCTAATGCTTGAATTGCAATTTTTGATGAATTATGAGGTGAGGCTTTACTTGTTTTGATAGAACTACCGTCCTATCAAAACAATTTTTATATATAATTGTAAGAAAATAAAATTACAAAATTACTAATGGTAATTGACATATGCAATTTAACACCTTTATCCATGTCTTTTGATTTAATTTCAAAATATCCATTAAAAAATATGTGATTTTGAGTAGGAATTGTTACAGAAAGGTGGAATGTTAAATAGTTTGGCTCTCATTAACAATTTATTTTTAGGATAAGGAGGTTACAATGATTGGTGTTGTGAGATTTCAAATCGAGTAGTTATGTCTGTCATGGACTATACTCAAAGTTCAAAAAAAATCTCAAACTTTGTAATACAACCCAAGTCATCTAATTTGACATCTAATGACCTCCTTGCAAGAAAGATAAATGATCTTATAATATGCACTCTCTAATGTTTTTTTTAAGAAAATTAGATTTATGGGGAATTATAGATAATGGGCGCAGTTTGTATCGAGCCGAGGTTCTAAACAATCAAAGTAAAACACACCTTCAAATAGTGTCGAGAAATGTGGTTTCAATACTAAAAACATTTATAATAGACTTGTAATATATTATCATCTTTAATTATAAAATTTAAAGCTTAGAAAATAATGTATATTAAGTAGATCTATGAAAATCCTGAAAATTAGCGGTCCAAAAATACATGACAAGATGCACTATTTCTAAACCTTGAAATCTATTTTTTTTCATGTTCATGCATCTTGATGCCGATATGATCAATTTGAGGGATATTTAGGCATCACAACAACTTCTTCTAGTGAAATTTTTGAGGCAGGCTCTAATTTAATTGTTTAGAGCCTCAACTCTATAGAAACTTTTTTCATAAGTAATATCCCCTTAGTATTTCCGAAATTCGAAAATTTATCCTTTCTTTTTAACACCTATATTTTTTTTTCTTATGCTTATAGGGATGTGAATGATGTAGCTGATATGTTGGCAGAATGAGGGGGGCGAGTGGCCCTGAGGGTGTAATACATGAAGTTTCTTAAAGCCTTTGTGGACCTATCAAGTCCGTGAAGGTCTGTCCAATGATTTTTTTTTATTATGTTCGCGAAGATGTTTATGGACCTATTAGGCCATAAAAATAATAGAAACAAAATTTAAGAATAAGAAATTGTATATTACAAGATAGAAAAGAGATATTGCTCTTTCTTTTTAAGATGATAATGTAACAAGATAGGAAAATGTATATGACACTATTGAATTACATTATATATACAACAAAAGAACAACAACAAGGTTGTGTGGAGCACAATTATTTTCTCAAAAGGTTGCTCTATCTCTTGTTGATCCGTGTTGCACAATGGTAGTACTACCCAATGTGGTGATTTTGTTTCTATTAAAAAGGCCTTGACCCTAAAGGTTTTAGGAAATGAAGTGGCCACTTGTGGCCTTTGTGGGTTCTGTGAGGTTCATAAGAACCTTTGTATCCTATGAGGTTTAAGAGGGTCTCGCTCGTTGTAAGATTTGACCCAACATGTAAGGGCCTTTTTGGTCCATAAAGTCCTCAAGCCTTAGTGCTTTACATCGTAAAGGCCTCAAGTCTTGGGGATTTTATAGACCTACGCCCTGTAAAGGCTTCAAGTATAGTAGGTACTTGTTGAAACCTTTATGGCCCTATTAGATCCGTAAAAAAGTCTTTATGTAGATCGGTAAAGCCCCAAGCGTATAAACCACCATGCACACTTGGGTGCTTTTGGAATTTCAAGAACACTCAATGAATGCTCCGGGACTTTACAGATCTATTATGTTTGTGAAGCCCCAAGCACGTAATTTAAGTGTTCACTTAAGTTACAACCCTCACATACCTAATAGGTCCATAAAGGCTTTGTGAACTTATTAGTCACGTGAAGGTCACTTTGGGGCTAGAACATATATTGGTGAAAATTTGGGTATAGGCATTAATTTGGGGCTAAAACATATATTGGTGAAAAATTAGGTATAGGCATTAATTTGAAGAATTTTTTTAAATTTCAAAATTTTTAAATTTTAACGGATATTATCGAGTCGCAACAAATAACATGTTATGATATAATTCAAATTTGAATTACTTTCTAATTCACAGTAGATGCATTTCCGCATAAGGAACCATGATTTTGCATCTCAAAACACAGTGCACATCTGATGCTATGCGAACAGTTGAAATCAATGGTTTAAAAAACGAATCGGTGCCTTGGATCGGACACCCAAAAAACCCATCCAGATCGGTGAAACGGCGATTCGGATCGAGAATTGGCCGAATCGATCGGATTAAGCTTAAAATTCTTTATAAAATTTTATTTTTTAGGAATCCAATAAGAAATGGGGGTACTGCATTAAAAAATTTCATTTTTTTGCATCAATATGTGAATATTAAGATGTTATTTCCCTGTACGAATTACTGTTAATCATTAAATTTACATCACATAAGGAGAAGAAACATTGAATTATCATGGATGAAGTATATAATCATATATAGACTACAATAAATTAATAATACAAACAAATTAATTTACTATTATAATAAAAACAATACATTATAATATTTTATAACACAAAAAACTTAATAAATAAAATATAAGATTTGATTATCAATGTATAATTATTATTTATAATATTATAACAACTATGATCCAAAAAATATTAAAAAACACTTCCATATCATACGATAAAAATTAAAATAAGTTCCCTTATAAATGTGAATATTATGACATTATAAAATTATTCAAGAAAAGATTTTCACCTAAAAATACAAACTCACAATGTCAAAATTCAAAAAATAAAATAAAAAATAAAAAATAAATTACGTATCATATATCCTAGTATTTTGCAATGTATAAGATATACGCTACAATTTTTATGTCAATAAGCGTTGGGAAAACTGAAATTAGTCACATTGTTCTCATTGATAAGTAAATCTACCTATCAAAGGTGGAGAATGCATTGAAGTGAAAAGAAAATTCAATGCGTGAAAGAGACGTGACCCATGCTTTCTATAGGAAATGATGACGTGGTTCCAACATGGTATGTTTTTTATGATGAGGATGGGAAGTTGGGATATCACAGGCGTGTTTGCGCTTACAACTGTGTCGAACCCGACGAGTCCGGTTCAATATAGTATCTTTTACGTGAACTGACACGGCGTGTCTAAAAATTGTGTCGAACCCGATGAGTCCGATTTGACTTGGTGGCTTTTTAATCAATGGTTGAAATAAAATAATAGTAATAAAGGGTCAAAAACAAAATTTTAAATGATATAATTTTTTAATTCAAAATCTGTATCTATTTCTTTCTTCTTCTTTTATCATGTTCATTATCATAGTGGATTTTTCAAGAAACCGCATTTCAATAGGTGATTAAAAAATGTAATTAAAACAATGTCGAGGGTAGATATCCTTGTTAAATGTGCAATAAGGTGGCTAAAGATTTTTGTCATTCTTTTTATATAAAATTTATTCTTCTTTGAGCTCAATCAATATCACATTCCCAACCGCCCGATTTCACTGGGCTCAATGAGTTGCTCGTGAAATCACCATCTTTGGATCAAGACCCATTAACACCTTAAAAAAATTAACTTCGACTATTTGCAAAACCGGGTTGGGGCCTGTCTTCCCCACTAATTACACCCCCAAAAAAAAAAAAAAATAGTAAATGGAAGTGATTCAGCTCTTACATTTGGCTTGAATTAGACATTTTCCCCCACATTTTGCTCAGAAAGAGTAAAATTTTTGATAATTTTGGTATGTACGTGGTCGTAATCCAAGAATTGCTGGTCATTAATGTCTTATTGAAATTTTCAGTGGTTTTTTAATGAGATTTCACATGATGATGGCAAATTATTCATTCAACCACAAAATTTCGGTTTTCCGAATTTCACCTAAAATTTGGCATTCTATATGAGGTTTTGGCTTAATGGATCTCGAAGTTTATGCCAATTTTAATTGGAATTTTTACATGAATTTTGTGAACTTGGGCCATTAGTTTGCTTGTGCGAATCATTAAAATCACCGATCCGATTCAGAATCGACCAAGATGAATTGAAATAGAGAGATTCAAGATCAAAAACCTTCGAAGTCCCTTGCATCTCATGGTTTTCTTTTTTTCTTCTGTAAAAGAAAAAGTTGTTTACTGTATCCCGGTCCAATTTAGAAATTGATGAAGTCAGAAAATTGGATTTGAAACCTTACCATGCAAGA